GTTAGAATGGAAAAAATTAGCAAGACAGGAAACAACATGTGTTGGAGAGGATGTGGAGAAAGGGGAACCCTCTTCCACTGTTGGTGGGAATGCAAGTTGGTGCAGCCACTTTGGAGAACAGTGTGGATATTCCTCACTGAAGAAATTAAAAATAGAGCTTCCCTATGACCCTGCAATTGCACTACTGGGTATTTACCCCAAAGATACAGATGGAGTGAAAAGAAGGGCCATCTGTACCCCAATGTTTATAGCAGCAATGGCACTTTTTTCCCCCTCTCCCTGCTTGCGTGGGAGTTCGTTTCCCTGTTAGAGAAGATAGCTATGCGGGGAGTGCCTTGCTTGCGAGGGCAGGACACTCCCATTTACTGTGTCTCCTCAGAGTCAGGCTCGGGCTGACTTGGGCCCTAAACCCGGCTTGACGGCTGCCATCCTGACCCTTCAGGTCGCCCGGCTCCACCTTCGGGTCTGGGTCAGCCTCTTCCCACTTCTTCTTGAGTGTGACTAAAGGAGTCATTTGGGCTGTCATGGGTATTTTCTTGGGTATTTATTTTTTTAGCCGTTGCAAAAATTTTAATGATAAAAAGGTGTTTTACATGGGGATACTAGACTCTTTTTGGTCATGCTCCTGAAACTAATAAGGGTAATTCTAAATTTTGATGTAATTTCAATTTGATGTAATTTAATTTGATAATTCCAGGCTTACAGAAAAATTGCAAGTATTTTACAGGAAACTCCCATGTACCCTTTCCTCAGATTTCCCAGCCCAACTCATCATCTCTTTACATTACACGAATTTGAAATTGTTGTGATGGGCTTTTACAGGGTGTCCCCATCAGAGCACCTACGGATTCCAAATTGAGGTTAAAGGGTTTGAATTCATGTTTTTATGAGTAGCTAAAGTTTTCTTGCCTTGTGCAAGGTTTTCCAACACTGCCAAAGCACTTGGACTAACTTCACAAGGGAGTTGCAAAAGTGTCAGTCTGGCTCAATGTTTCTTTGAAAAGCTAATTTTTTATCGTGTCGTATGTTATTACTCTTTGTACGTAAGTGACTCTAGATGTATTTTTTTAAATGAATAGACTCTACTTTTAAGGGGAAGTTTTATGTTTATGGACAAAGTGAGCAGACAGTGTAGAGGGTCCCTGTACATCCCAGTTCCTCGGTACTGACATCCTGCATTAGTGTGGTCCGTTTGCCACCGTCCATGAGCCAGCAGGGAGCCGTTGACTACCGTGCCCGTCGGGTGGGGCTCCCTTGGGACTCACTCTGTGGGTCTGGACAGATGTTGATGATGCATCTCCAGCAGGACAGGACTATCCACGGCCAACTCTGAATAGAACAGTTTCCATGTTTTCCATTCTCCTCGGCTGCCCTGAGCATCAGCCTTCCTGCCCAGCCCTGGCCTGGAGGACTTCCGGTCGCGTGGGGGACACAGGACCAGCCCAGGTGGTGGCCAGGAGGCCGTCAGTCTCAGGCACAGCCCTGGGGGCCCCTGGAACTGAGGCCAGCAGTGGGACACCATGGAGCCAGAGGAAACATCCCAGAAGCTTGGTCTTTCTCCTTGGGGCTACTCCTACCTTTCCCTTAGGGTTGGGTTGGCGGGAGCGGGGAGGAAGAAATGTGTCAGGTGCTGGCTATGTGTTGACTCCCTTGTTTTCCCTGAGACTTTGCTGGTGGCACGGATCAGGGGCCCCTGCTTGGGTGGGTGAGGGGTCTTCCTTGGATGGGAGGCTGGGGTGTAGGCTCTTCTACCATGGTTGCAGTCAGGTCTCTTTCCCTTTCCAGAAGCCCCAGTGGCCAGTGGCCAGGCCCCCAGAAGGCTGGGCTGCCCAGAGTGATCCACATCCAAGTCAAGGAGGTAAGGTAGTAGGGAAAACAAGTGTAAAGATCACTTTTTACTCTTTTCAAGCACATTCTTACATATTCTCCCAATTCAGCCTCATAACAACTCTGAGAACTAAGGGACAGCAAGATGACCACACAAATGAGGAAACAGGTTCACAGATGTCAAGGGCTATTCACAGATGTCAGAGCTATTCCCCAATACCCTTCCACAGCTGCCCACTGTGGCCACCAAAGCAGCCCATCCCAGAGTGGGATCTGGGTCTCTAATCTTGGGCTGACTGGCCCTTGGCAACCCCCCCCACCCCTCTGGACCCTTCAGCCCCCCCTCCCAGCCCCAGCCCATTGGTGGTAAACCCCCTGTGTTATTATTGAGGAAGGTGTCGGCACCCACTTTGTTCCGAATTTCAGGAAGGCAGCCCCAGAATTTGTGCTCTCTGTGTCTGAGTCAAGTACGGCACTCCCCACACAGTGATTGGGGTGTGGGGGTACGTGGAGGAAAGAATTCTTGAAAAAGCTAGTTAAGACTTGACTGTATTAGGCAAAAAACTGGAAGGAAAATCAGAGTCTTATATAAGAGTGTCTAAATCTGCCCCATATTATATTTTTTACAAAAAGTATGAGCATGTTTTATATTTTGATAACCAAAAAACCCCCAAACAAAACATAACAAAAATAAACTCCAAACAAACCCTATTCTGATTTAGGGAAAAAACGACATCAATGACAAATGTTTTGAAAGCAGACAAATTTAGGTCTGATACCTTACTCCTCCAAACTCATTTTCTTCATCTGCGTAATGGGCACTCATCCCACAGCCCTGTTTGGAGGATCAAGAGAGGGTTTGTATGAAGCAGTGTCTGGAGAGCCCAACATGGACTCACTTTTCAAAACACAGAGACTTAAGTTTTTTAGAACAGTTTTTGATTTATGGAAAAGTGGATAAGACACTGTAGACAGTTCCTAAATACCTTAAACAGTCGGTCTCCCCATGATTAACATCTCGTATTCATATGATACATTTGTTACATTGATGAACCTTTCTTGATACCTTATTACTAACTGAGTGCCCCTTCCCTGTTCCGGGGAGTGCACGTCCACTTTGATGGTTTTTATTATCATTATTGTTTTTGTTGTAATAGACACTCAGCAAACGCCTCTCCCCAGTCCTTCCCTTTCCCGGTATGTGCCATCCAGACAGCAAAGCCTGTTCCTAGGGTTCCCGTTACTAGGGTTTCCCAGTAAAGGGCCACAGTTTAACTCAGGGGACAGAGGTAAACCTGAAGGCGGGGTCCCGTCCCAGAGCTGAGGGCCCCTTGGGCGGGGTGGTGAGATCCGGGGTGTGTGTCAGGCTGAGCAGGGGTGGGTGGCGTGTGCCACGGGAGCCATCTGGAGGGCTCATGTTCCAGTCAAAGCCACAGGTTTGGAGTTTCTGTTGAGCAACAAAGCATTGTCTAGCAATTGCCTCAAGATGAATCAGAGAGATTTCTTCACTCGATGTTGAAGGTGAAGCCTGCAGTGCCTTATAAAAGCCTCCAGGCTCCGTCCTCCTCACCAGCACCGACTTCTTGTTGCACTGTTGCTCTCCAGCACGCTGAAGGTAAGTGTCCTGTCCCTGGCTATGGGGGCTTCATAGGGCGGTGACTGCAGGTGGCGACCGCAGGCTGTTGGAAGCCATAACGTTCTGCTTGCCAGAGCGCCTCCAGACTGACTGCATTTTGGCCTCAAGGAGACCAGTCCTTGGTGCACTAGGTAGACCCAGGCTCAGGACCTGGGGTTGTGAAGGTAGAAGAGGCTGGTAAATGTCTGCAGGAGACCTGGGGCCGAAGTGCCATCACCTGGGGAAAGGGAAGAGCCTGGCCAGCCCCCAAACCCTTCCTGCGTGTGCTTGAGTGAACAGCACCCCGAGTGACACTCCCTAGGAGACAGGGGGACACGGAACACTGTGGCCACAGGGGCTGATTCTTTTAGACTTTAAACTGAAGTCTAACTACAAATGAAAAATTCACCGCAGATCAAACAGTGCAGAGAGAACACCAAGCAGAGGCGGGGGAGTCATCCCTTGTCTGAACCAGAATGAGAGGAGAGAGGGGACTGGGGGCGGGTGAGATTGGACCTGCCCTGGACCTCCCGTGTCTTCTGAAGGTTGAGAAGATGACTAAGCTGGAGGACCACATGGAGGGGATCATCAATGTGTTCCACCAGTACTCAGTCCGGAGGGAGCACCCTGACAAGCTTTCCAAGGGTGAGATGAAGCAGCTGATCACAAGAGAACTTCCAAATGCCCTCAAGGTAGGTGACATCCCTCACACCCAAACTCACTCGCTGAAGGGCTGGGCTGGGGTTGGCCTGAGGGCGCTCTCCTGAGCTGTGGGATGGTGTGTGTGTGTGTGTGTGTGTGTGTGTGTGTGTGTGTGTGTGCGCGCGTGCAGGCGCTCCTCCTTCTCTCCAGAACTCACTCTGTCACCTCAGGCTCTCTTCACCTCTCCCTCTGGGACCGCTCACTCACCTGGGGGGACTGGTGAGCTGCAGGGACCGCCCTGGCCGAGACCCGTGTGGCTCAAGGGTTAGCTCATGACAGCTGCGTCCCTCCGGTCTCTGTTTTGTCATGTTGGGTTCTCCAGCGCAGTTTTGGCGAATGAGTTAATTGTCCCTGGGCCTCCCTGAGCCCAGCTCTGAGGGGCGAGAGGCCTGGAGAAAGGGGAGGAAGAGTCTGAGCTCACTGTCTCTCATGCCCCTTCCAGAACACCAAAGATCAAGCTGCCATCGACCAGACATTCAAAGAGCTGGACACTGATAAAGATGGAGAGCTCAGCTTCCCCGAATTCGTATCCCTCCTGGCCCGTGTGCTCATCACTGCCCACGAGGATATCCACAAGGAATAGGAAGCTCTCAGGGGCTTTTCTCTGGCAGAGTCCCCAAGAAAACCATTCCTTGTAGTCATTGCAGCCCAGCCCTGCACGTGGAAAGGGAGAGTTAATAAACGTATTCTCGAAAAGTTCTCAGTAGTGGGCACTTTCTTTATTTCCATGTCCACGGTCTCCGAACTGGAGGACATCTCACCCCTGAGAGTCTGACAGACCTCGTTTAGAGCCTTGGGAAGCCCTGTCTGTTTGTTCGTTTATTCACCAGCTATTAAACGTCCACTGTTTGGCTCCTTCATTCATTTGTTCAACAAATATTCCCTGAACGTCTGTGATAGTCAGAGATCGAAGACAAAACCCTGTCCACCTGGGGCTTGTGTTCTACTGGGGAGGAGAGCAAACAAACAAGCAGACAGACAGACAGACAAACAAATAGACAAATAAAAGCACATCCTATGATATGGGGTAGACAGTGATAAGTGGTATGAAGTAAGCTAAAGGGGGAAGGGGAGAGGCAGAGGAAGGGACAGAGGGAGAGAATCTCAAGCAGACCCGTCCCCCTGCCCCTGCTCAGTTCAGAGCCCAATGCAGGGCTCGATCTCACGACCCAGAGATCTCGACCTGAGCTGAGATTAAGAGTCAGACGCTTAACCGACTGAGCCACCCAGGCACCCCCAAAATATAGACGTTATTATTGAAATATTTTGCATTCTTTCCCTTTTTTCTAAGACTCTGAAATCCAGCATGCCTCATGCTGACAGTCACCGTTCATGAGGCCAGCCATCACGTGTAGCTCATGGCGATCACCCTGGAAACGCAACCCCAGCCCATTTGAGGGATGAGGGGGCCAGACTAGGGGGGCGGGAGTGCTGGTGTTAAAGCATACTCAGGCTCTGCATACATTTGAAGGTGGCAATGAGAAATCAAGGGTAACTCTGAAGATGTATCCCTGAGACGGGGCTGGATGTTGTGGATGCAGAGACAAAGTCCTTGCCAGCTGAAAATCCAAGCAGCAGAAATCCCCACACATTGTTGTATTTGTTTTGGCAGAAGGAAACAGAGGGGGGCATAGTGAACAGGAGAGTGGCCTGGGCTTGGGTGTTGGGGTCAGTTAGGTATCCTGGAGGAGTAGACCCCTGGACATGAAATTTGGGGTAGAACTTTGAAAGGGGGAAAATGATGCAGAATTTCCGTGAATTTCTTTGATTCTTTCAAGGGTGTGGGTGGGGGGCAGGAAGGCGTTGGGAGCGACAAGGGACGTGAGAGCAGGGAGAAGGGGGTTAGCTCCACCCAGCATGGGGCCTGGTGAGGGAGCCCTTCACTGGCCAGCCTTCCTCCTTCCTGAGGTCTGGGCCAGGTTCTTTGTTCAATGCCCTAGAGCGGTGCAGCTCTCCTTCTGTATTCTCTCCTGCTGTCACTCAGCCTCCCTCATGGAATTGCGTAACGTCAGTCTCCTCCATGGGGCAGGTGCTGTTTCACTGTGCCTGGCATATGGCGGGGTTTCGTGAACCTGTCTTACACGAATGAACATACGGACATCAGGGTGGCTGTTGGTAGGATTCCGTCCTACCAGAGAGAGTAGAGGAAGGAGGATGGACCCTGAGGGCAGCAATCGTGTCCCTGAAGGACAGGGTCAATGCGTCCTGGTGAGAAGTGCATTCATCTGAGTCAGTAGAAGTCCCTGGGGGCATCCCTGTCTTCAGCCCCTTCTGGGGCTGAGTTCAGTCTGCAGAAGGTTGGTGTCCCTTTGAAGTCACACTCCGTGCAGCTGGTGTCAGAGCACTGAAATGTTATGGGCAAACGTGCTGGTGCTTGGAGGTAGGGCCTCCCAGAGGTTAGGGTTAGATCAGGTCATGAGGCTGGGGCCCTCCCAATGAGATTAGTGCCCTTATAAGAAGAAGACTCACACAGAGAGAGTGAGAGTTGGCCTTCTCTCCAGGAGCGTACACAGCAGAAGGTGCTGTGTTCAAGGCAGGAGGACAGGCCTCACCACGACCTGACCACTCTGACACCCTGCTCTCACACTTCCAGTCCCGAGAATCGTGAGAAGTACGTGTGTACTGTTAAAGCCCCCAGTCTCTGACTTTTCATGCCAGCAGCTGAGCAGCCTGGGACGCCACAGAAGCAGCCCCAGGACCCAGCCCGGGGCTCTGGGCGACCCTCCCGTGGCTGCTCCCTCTGGCTTGTCTGCAGCAGGAGGGACAGGACAGAGGGCAGAGTTTGTGACAGCATTTGAGAAAGATTAGGTAATTTTCTGGAGCCCAGGAATGACCGCTAAGAAGGGGAGCTTTATATTGGGGAAGGGGTGGGTCTGTCTCTCTGTTTATTCTTTGCTGAGGGAAGCTGGGATTGAGCACGGAATCCAGGAAGTGACCAGTCCTGACCACTGAGGCCTGGGGTTGGAGGTTTGCTGGGCTGCCCACCACATCTGTGGGATGTGGATCTGAGGTAAAGCTGAGGCAGGAGGAAAGTATGGTAGGCTGAGATGGGGTGAAGTTGGATTGGCAGAAGAGGAAGGAATTTAGAACCCAGAGAAGGGGATCTTGGAATGGCCCCAGCCTAGATGATGATAGGGAAAGAGTCAGGAAAGCCCTCACTTGCTGGGTGACCCCACTAGGTGAAGCACTTTGCCTCTCTGGACTTCTGTTCTCTTCATTTCTGAAAAATCCAAAGGAATTAAAGAAATTCATTTTGAAGATTTTAGACTAGGTGAACACTCAGGTGTCACCCAGATTTAACATTCCAGATGTTTTGATGGGAGGGAGGAGAGCTTTGAGTGGGATCTAGAAGCATTGGAAGGAAGTGTGTTCTTGGACATGAAAGGGTAGCGGTCAAGAGTATGAGGGTTGGGGTTAGTTTTACCACTTACTTACCATGAGACCTTGAATGAGTCATTCAAAATCTCCAAGTCCCAGTTTTCCATCAGTAAAGTGAGGATAACCATGGTCCCTCTCTTCCAGAGTTGGTGTGAGGACCAGATAACCTAACAGAACAGGGGAAGCACTCAGCACATCTCCTGATAACCACGCAAGCCCTCAACAGCCAGCAGCGGTCACAGCAAGACACTGACTTGTGTAGGAAGTCATGGCTGTCACTGGTCAGCTGCTCGCTGCTGCAACCCCAACAGTGAAGGGTATTTTATTTTATTTTTTTTAAAGATTTTATTTATTTATTGGATAGAGAGAGAGATCACAAGCAGGCAGAGAGGCAGGCAGAGAGAGAGGAGGAAGCAGGCTCCCCGCTGAGCAGAGAGCCCGATGCGGGGCTCGATCCCAGCACCCTGGGATCATGACCTGAGCCGAAGGCAGAGGCTTAACCCACTGAGCCACCCAGGCGCCCCGTGAAGGGTATTTTAAACCCAAGCAAAGATGAGGGTAATTTTAGGATAGAGTTGGATAAAGTTGACCGGGGCTGGACAGGGAACCAAGGGCAGCTGAGTTCTGTCTTTCCCTAAAGATCTTGAAATGGTTGGACCAGGACCAGGCTGCTGTTGCCCAGACCAGAGCTCTCACAGGTCTGTGACCAGTTCTGAGACACGGAGTCCTGTCGGAATGTGCTGGAAAACAACAACAAACCACTGGGAACAAACCCACCGTATTTGCTGTTCTGAAAACGTTCACCAGCCATGATTTAGTTTCAAAAGAGCCAACTGAACCACTGATTGAACTTACATCCTATGTAGAGAAACGTTAAGGCCCCCAAAGTTGGTAAAAGTTCATCAGCCAGAGGTACCTGAGGGCAAGGGAAGGCCCCCAGCCTGGTTTCCAATGTGCCTGGTTGGACTCCCAGAGCCACTGCTTCTTGGCTCTGTGAGTTTGAGCAAGTGGTCTCCCTTGTCTGAACCTCAGTCTTTCTACCTGGAAAGTGCTGTTTGGACCAGACAAAACTGCAGAGACTTGTCCCCAGATGACGGCAGGCATCGTGAATCAAGCAGCCGGATCCAGGGACCACAGGCCTGAACCACGGGACCACAGAGACTGGGCCTGTTCTCTGTAGCATCTTGTCATCAACCTCCTGCCCTCCACTCTCAGTTCTGGTCTCAGAACCACTCAGAAGTGGCCATTCTGGAATGTTCTCTAGTTTCCTTGTGAACTTTTGGAGTTTTTGGATTCTGCACCTGCTGTGCTGTTGTCCTCTTTTCCTGAAGTGGCCTCTTGTCTCTTTAAGGCATCTACCCTGTTTTAGGCACCAGATCACTGGGATCTAGATCCTATGCTTGCCCACCAAGGCCCAACCCAGTCGTTGCATCCACCGGGGAGCTCACCCCCTCACATCCCTTGCACGCTTCCACTCTCCCATCCACAGTAGATTCCTGGAACGCAGGGCCGCCTGCCCACTGGGGTAGCGCTGTGAGCAGCGGCGCATTATTCAGTAGGCGACAGCAATTCCATCGTCTTGCTGCAACACCTAGCCCTTCAGAAAGACATCTCGGGAGGGCTTCTGGCCCACTGTAAGCCAAGCCAGGCCAAGCCAACATGCGTGTCAGGACTTTGGAAATCAGGAAAGGATGTGCACTCAAGGAGGTGGCTACCGGGAGCCCAGGGCAAAAATGACTAGGACTCAACGTTTTAGCTTGGCCAATATAAAAAGTCATCTAAGTCAAAAGGAAGTGAACTCGACTATGCTTCTCTGATTTCTCTGATTAGGTAACACAGCCTTGGGCACACAGTAGCTCAACTCTTGCCCTTTCAAAACTCACCTTGGCATTAATCTGCAGGTGCTTACCCTCGCCTTCTTTCTCTCTCCGCCTCCACCCATGCCAAAGACACAGGCAGAAGGTGGGTCCTCCGAGCTCCCCAGGACGCCTGTGGTTATCCTCCGTCTTGGCCTTTCTTTGGTCCACACCATTATATTGAAAATATCTACTTGGGTGTTTGTTGCCCCATTAGGCTGAGGGCTCCTGGAGGGCAGGGACCTAACGCCATGTTTGATCTGAAGACCCAGGCTCAGTGCCACAGCCTCCTAGCCACTCCCCACACTTCCACTCTGCACTCCAACCCTCCTCCGCACAGCAGCCCAAC